GATACCTAAACCACTGAGGTATCCAGCAGTTAATTACTGAGCTCAAACTTTCTACATCACACAAGCAATGTGAGCATTTAATTATAATTAGATTTTAGAACTGGTATAATTTTTTGTGTTCCAAACACTAGATGCACATAGAATTTAACTGTAATCTTTCTAATATAGGTAGAGTAGGCCAGTACTATCATTCCCTTCTCATAGATGGGGTTTGGGGGATTGAAAGAGAGCTGTTTCTATTGCAGAAGTAAGATTCTGTGAACCATAATATTAAACTTTTCTTCTTACAGAATGAAGTGGTATAGACAAGCTGAAGTGTTTGAAAGAAAACACATACCTCTTAATAGTCTGGCTCTTTGATGTTCTGATAAGGAGGAATCACTATGGGACTATCTAAAACATGTCTCATCTGGAAATCCTCAGTATAATTACACATTTCACAAAGCAGCAGTAGACAGAGTTCAACGTACTATATAAGATACTCAGTAACACAAGATATTCAGCAACACAATTCCTGCAGAGCTCCACACACGCAGATTTTAAAATGAAGCTCGTGTGTTTCCGCAATGATTACATGCATGTGGGCTTCTGTGAATGGGTTCAGTTTCAAATTTTGACAACTCCTCACTTTGCGCGGGAAATACCACAGGAGACGTCTTCTTAACTTTAACAACTCCTTATTTATTAGTAACAGGTACATCAGCATTACTCATGATGGGATCGAAAAAGCTTAAGTCAGGCAACAAGCCGTAACTGTCCAACACATAATCTTGACCACCATCCATTGAACTCATAGGGGTGCTGGGCCAAACGTCTCGGCATCTGTTGGCTTCCGGAGGGGTGCGCTCCGCACTGCGCAAGTGGTGCTGCATCATGGGTGTCTTGCCCAGTGCCCTTCTGGAGGGGGAGTATTGTACCATGAATCTGGTCTAATCACTTGCTGCCTTCTCCCTTTGTTTTTCGGGAACACTACCACTGACCTCTCTAGGGTCTCATATTTCACCTCTCTGCCTTCCTTCGGTACGGGATCTGGCAGCAGCCCACCTAGCTTCAAATTGGCGAAGTCTCTTAGCAGCTCTTGAGTCTTCCCTCGTTCATATTCTCTCAATCTCTCCAGCTCCCTCTTTCGTTTCCACAGCTCCAATTCCACCTCAAACCGACACTCCCCCTGGCTACTTATACTCTCCTGCCAAACGGACAACTCTTGTGCCACCCCTTTCTTATTCCCCACGGTCTTCCACTAAACTCACTTCAAATTTCCCGCCTCATTCTGTCTTCTCCTTTTCCGCCACTGCGTTCTCCCTTTGGTCTGCCTGCACCTTCTCACTCTGTTTTCTCCCCTGCTGTATCCTCTGGGGACAGCACACTCTCCACTGGGCCACCTTCACATCTTCCTTCTGCACTTAAGGAAACCCCCAAGAGGGCAATTATTTCACCACTGCTTTCACCAGGGAATAGCCCAAGGTATCTTGCTATCAACAGATTACTGAATTGAAAATGTAGTCTTTTTTGAATACTGACAATGGAACCTCGTTCATCACACCTGAAGGCAGCAAGCTACCTTAGAAGGTGCAGAGCCACCTCCTGGTCCATAGCCCTTTCCTCCAACAGCTGCCTAGCACCAGCAGTTTCCTAGCACCTGCCTAACGCAGAACTATGAGCTTTTTTGGGTACTTGTCAAAAACATGTATAATGAGAAGCAGCAGGAATGAAACAGCTCTTTGGCTTAAATTCACGAGTTTCAGCACTGAGGGTAGTGGTTGCTGAGACTCAAAAGGACTTCAGGCTCCCATTCCTTGGAGCTACTGCATCATTCAGTGGTCCCCAACATTGGCTCCCCAGATGTTCTTAAACAAGAACTCCCTGAATCCTTCATCACTAGCTGTGCTGGCCAGGGTTTCTGGGATTTGTAGTCCAAGTACATTTGAGGGGCCAAGGTGAACCACTGACTTAGATTGTTGGCTGTGTTTACACTGCTGACAGGTACGGCTAATCTGCTGGTGATTGAGAACATTTGTCTCCCTCTTTTCTATACCTGGACTAGATCTCTTTTGATTTGTCCCTTATGTGGGCTTTGTTCAATGCAGAAAGCAGACTGAAGCCTTGCTGGCAGGGACTGGCATTTATTTAGAGCACACTCATTGCGTATGTTAAATGCTATAAAACAGCGGTCTACAACCTTTTTGGGACCACAGACTGGTTAGGGGATGCGGGCACCATGCACCAGGGGTGGGGGCACCCCCGTGCTTGCAGGTGGGCATGTTGCACTCGCGGAGGGGGGTGTCATACTTGCATGTGACACGCCCCTCTGTGAGTGTGACATGCCCACCGTGAGGGCAACAGAGATCCGTATCGACAGCCCAGTTCCAGGAAGCCCACGGACCAGCACCGGGCTGCAGGCCAGTGGTTGAGGATTCCTGCTATAAAAGATATGGTGATGGAAGTATATTTCTAATGAACTCTACTCTCCTGAAACCTCTGCTGTTTCACTACAATCCAATTTCTGGACCTCTCTTCATCTCATTCCATACATAAGTAGGGTTCTAATATACAAAGGTAGGAGAAAGCCACTTCACTCTAGAGATAAAACAGCAGGGTGCAAAAAATATAGGAAACCCCCCCCTTCTCCACTGTGAAGTCATTCCTTGCCAGATATGCTTTGCAATGGAAAAGGAGCCAACACACATATTATAATGGTGTGATGCAATGGGCAGTTTGCCTCTACAATCACTGTCATAGCACATTTATGTGCTGAATCAACTATTATCAAGTGCAAGTAACTTGCTACTCACTAGCTATAACTCATCCCCTTGCTTGCCAATCAAAGGCCTAATTATAAGGACCCTTTGAATTGATACTTTTTCCTTGTTTTTTTATAGTGATACATTTGTATGTCTTGTCACGTATATATACTGTTGAGATCATTCATGTGGCAGTCAGTTTAATCGGTACATTTCTTGCTATTTGTACCTGTCCTGTAGGCTACACTGACCTCTTATATAAATCAAGTCATTTTCTGTCATGTTTCTGCGTCCCCACTGTCCAAAAATGCTCTTATTTTAAAAAAAAACATGATACATTGCTGCAGCAGCATATACCTGCCATGTTCATGTCACTTCCAACTGTTCATTGACACACCACTTGGTATGATATGTCAGAAGAAAAATGGAGGGCAGCATTAAAAAGGACTTTGATTTGTTATTGAAAAGCTAAGGGGGAAATTAACTATAAGCCACACAAAAGTAGGGACAATAGTTAGAGTAGGGAAGACGTCATCAAAGTGATATATCAGTAACCTGTTGTGGAGAAAAAAAATATTAAAGAAAAAGTAGTTCATTAATCACTAAGCATTTATAATAAAAAGGGCATAAGAAGGGGTGTCCATGCAGTTGCCACAGCACTTCAAAATCCAACCCATTTGCAAAGTAAATAAATCAACAGGAACATTATTCACACTTGCCAAAATGATGAAGATTGAAGTAATACAGGGACTGGATCATTTTTAAAAGGCTATGCTGATAATAAATAAAAATATGCCTTCACTAAGTTGAAGATGTAAAAAAGAAAAGTATATACATATGTGGTGGTTTTCTGAAATAAGGAAGAAGGGATGGACAATGATTTTCAAGGACATAAGAGAAATAATTAGTGTAGATGTACAAATCTCCCCAATGATTGCTTTGTTGAATATGGTTAACAATAATCAATTGAAAAGGGAAGAAAATGAATTAATTACCCTGTTTCCCCCAAAATAAGCCCTAACCTGAAAATAAGCCCTAGTACAATTTTTCAGGATGCTTGTAATATAGGCCCTACCCCAAAAATAAGCCCCAGTTAAGTGAAACCACACCCTCCACCATTGTGCAGCAACTAGAAGATGATGACATGACTGTATTTTAATAAATATAGATTGTTGTATATGAAAAAAATAAAACATCCCCTGAAAATAAGTCATAATGCATTTTTGGAGTAAAACTTAATATAAGACCCTGTCTCATTTTAGGGGGAACACTGTATTATAATGGTGATGGTTGCAAGATTAATTTTAGCAAAAAATTAGAAAAGTAATACAGTGGACCCTCTACTTATGGAATTAATCCATATTGGAATGGTGGCTGCAGGTCGAAAATTCTGTAGGTCGAGTCTCCATTGACCTACAATGCATTGAAAACCGATTAATCCCGTAACCAGCTGTCTTTGTTCCGTTTTTGTTCCATTTTGGTTTTTTTCTGGTCTGTAGGTCGATTCTCCGGCTGCAATTCAAACCTAAATTTTGCAACCAGAGAAGTTTGTAATTCGAAAAGTCTGTAAGTCGAGCTGTCTGTAAGTCGAGGGTCCACTGTAATCAAGTTAGTATGGAGGAGTGATATAGAGAAATGTTGAATATGGCAATTAATGATAAATTAACCTGTAAAATTAAGGATGGAAGAGGAATGACAAAATTTAATGATTTTAAACAAATACAGAATTGGGTTTTGGTACATGTGTTTCAGAAAGGGAAAGGGTATACACTCGAAGAAGAATCAATGTATAATTGGAGAGAAATGGGGCAATCTGAAATATAAGAATGAAGAACATGGAACTAGTCCTGAGTGGGGGAGTGGATCTCATCAAGTGCAGAAGAGGGGTTACATTAGGCTGTAAGTGGATATATGATAAGCATTTTGTAAAACTGGAATGTTTGTGTATAAGCAAAAAGAGCCTCGTGGCGCAGTGGTTAAAACTGTGCTCATGACCTGGGGTTCAATCCCAGGTAGCCGGCTCAAGGTTGACTCAGCCTTCTATCCTTCCGAGGTCGGTAAAATGAGTACCCAGCTCGTGGGGGGGGGGCAATGTGTAGCCTGTATAATTAACTTGTAAACCACCCAGAGAGTGATTGAAGCACTATGGGGCGGTATGTAAGCAGCACGCTTTGCTTTGCTTTATGTCTTTCTTCGTTCAATAAAGTTATATAAAACATTTAAAAGTGAAAAAAATTAATAAAACATCATGCCAGCAAGGTGGGAAACAAACTGATTGGCTGGCCAAATGAATCAGTGCTGTCCATGCATCATGCAAACGGAAATTTCTAAAACAAGTTTTAAAATGACAGAAGCGATATAACTGGGGTTCTTTTGGCACATGTGACTGCACCCTTAGGACTAGTCTTGAATTCTCTGCTCAGAGGCTGAGAGCCCAGAAGAATTTGTTCAAAAGGAGAAGAGTCTGCTGAATGGATGTCAGGAGTTCCTTTGTGTTTCATTTGTAGCATCCCTAGTTAGCAGTGTATGGTATGCAGAAACAAACTTCCATTTGGAAACAAACTGAAATAGGGAAGGGACAGTCCACAGAGAGTTGTTTTATGCAAACCACATTGAAAATTGTGCAAGAAGGTAATAGCTCCAGAGTGGCATCATTACATAATTCCTGTTTATTCCAGAGCCGCGGTTTCATGGGGAGATGTTTGTGCCCGCTGTTTTCAGTCAATAGGAGGGAAATTGGCCATGCAGATTTTCTGCCCCAGGCAACACCGTGCCTTGTGTTAATCTTCCTGGCACACTACATCTTCCCACTTCCACCCTCTCAAAGCAAATCACAGTTTGGAAAGCTTGATATCATAGGCAACCATGTTGAAGTTGTCCCAAGCAAACAGTTTCTTCTCTGTGGGGTTGTAATCCACCATGCTGCTATATCTGTAGCGGTTCTCAAAACGGATGTTCAGTGGTGCACTGGTTCCTGTGCTGGTGCCATAGATGAAATTCACTGTGGCCTCAGGGGATGAGTAGCTGCTAATGGTATACAAGGAGCCACAGATCATGAAGGAGTTGGCCACAGACTGCTTGCGGATGTTTGTCTCCCATGTCTGTTCAATTTCTAACGTTTCTGGATCCAGCCGGGAAAGCACAATGGCACCCTTGGCGTCTTCAGTGCTGTAGATCACCCATAACCCCACCTCGTCAATGGCTAGGTCAATGTCTGTATAGCCACCCCATGAGTAGGGAAACTGTCCATGGTAGCCAGCATTGGGCAGTTCCTTCTGGATTGTAATGGCTTCAGTCTTTAGGTCATACTTCACTAATATTCTGGACCTGCGCCTCTGAAAATAGAGTGAACCCCGATAAGCCACAGCACCTGTGCTTTCCATAGATTGGGGCAATATATGCACTTTGGAAGGGTAGCCTTTAATAAATTGGTCTGCATCCTCATATTCAAACACCTGACGGACATCCACACCAACAGTGTCAACTCTCCAAGTTGTATTGAGGGTATACGGAGGCACCGGTTGTGGGTCCCTCATCCACACACCATATTTGCCAGCAATGGTTTCTGCCTTGCGCAAGGTCACTGGATCACCAACCCATACAAGTGTTCCACAGCCTGTTTCAGGAAATAAGCACATTTATATTAATATGAATGTGTGAAAGACTAGTATGCCTTGAAATCAAAACAAAAAAAAACATTTGCTATTCTCAGTTTTTGCCTGTGAACCCAAAGAGCCCCTTTGGCATAGCAGCCATCTTATTTTTAGAAATGAAATTAATGGGGAGCAGATATTAACACATTAGTCTGTCTTAGACCATTTTTATTAAAGTAGTTGTTTACTGCTTCTCAGCTCCTTTCCAAGGTCAATCAAGTTAGGCAAAATCAGCTTCCAGTTGGCAGCAGCAACCTTCCAACTGATGTCTTTCCCAGCTCTCAGAATCTCCCAGGTATATGTAAAAGACGGGTTATAAATTCTCAAAGCAAATAATGAAAATAACATCCTGAAAGGTGGCTAGATTGGAAACTTCTGAATATAAAACGTAATCCCCACCATCTCACCGACTGTAATTACCCTGAGCTGTTTGTTGGAGGTTCCCAGGCCTTCAACCTTCCAAATCGTGGCTCCAGGATTGCTGGCAACTTAGTTGCTGCCAGTTTAGGATAACAGCTCATCCATCTCATGAAATGGACTCTAGCCCTTTAAAGCTTTAGCCATAATAAATGCATTAGTATTTGAAGTGCCACAGAACTTTTTGTGGCCATTATGTTAAATTTTGTGTCCCAAAATCCAGACCTTTTAAAGTTTAAATGCATTTGTATATGTGGGCTATGTACCACCAAGTCATTTCTGACTTGCATTTTATACATGAGTAATTTTAATTGCCACCCCCAATGAGATTCCATGGCTAAGTGGGGATTTGAACCCCAGTTTTCCAAGTCCCAAGATGACACTCTATCCACTGCAACACACTGGTCCTCAACGGTGCCAGTTTAGGGGCATAATTTTATGTAGAACCTACTAGTTTAGTGACTAGATTCCAATTTTGGCCAAAAACCTGTTCTGGATTTCATGTATCAGTATTCTTATAGGCCAGTTGTTCCTTGCACATCCATGACTTACACTTTGAAAAAAATTTCTGATGGTGCAGATCGTTTTCATATAAACCAACAATCTAAGTACACCAAAAAAGAGAAGTCCTCACCCAGGCACTGGGCTTTTGTCAGGAGCTCAAATGTGAAACATATGTGAAATATAATTATTTTAATGGAACATCAAGGTTGTTATCACTGAAGAAAAGAACTGAATGAGAAAGGAGGAGAAATGCAGTTTTCCTCTTGGAAGTAACAGCACCAGGAAGGGTCTGTTTCCAAGAGACGCAAAGAAGGCATTGGGTGACTGCTGGCAATAACATAATAAGGATATTTAACATATGGCATGCATATATATTTGTCAGCTCTGTACAGAATTGCTGGGCTACACACAGCTTTTCTTATTATCACCTGATAGATATAACTTGAGATAATATTGTAATTGCACATAACCTGTCAGTTCTCCTTGATGCAGCAAAATGTCATTGAAGCTACCAACATGAATTTGACCAAACTCTGTGAGGCAGTGGAAGACAGGAGGGCCTGGTGTCCTCTGGTCCATGGGGTCACGAAGAGTGGGACAACAACAACAAAAACTCAAGCAGAAATATATTTGTCAGTCTTAAAGGTGCCATACAAGAGCTTGTTTGTTTTTGTTTTGTTTTGGTCCCACAGAACCATACCAGAAACCTACAAATGTTTGGGAACATCATTTTCTTGCTGTTCTGTCACTTGTTCTCAATCTTCTCACACAACATCTGAATATACATGTTCTATTCAGCTATTACAATTGGTGAACTGTCTTCAGTAGACTTCCCCTAGCATACTTAAAATGATATTTATTTGAATGGCTGGCTGGGAATTTTATTTTAGTGGGGTTTGTGTAGGAAATATCTGGTGGATCGCAACCAAGGAAAGACAGCCTAGCTCGACTGTTCACTCTAATTTCCAGCCCCAGTCCATCAAAGAATACTCTGTCACTTCCCCTTGGAGTACAAGAGGTGATTCAGTCCCTTTAGTGAGGTATGATTTCAGCAGGAAATGAGAAATGGAAGTCTGATAAGCAGGTGGGTTTGCTTTTCAGCTGATCTTGGGGAGGTTTGCCCTAGGTTTATTTGAAGTTTTCCATGCCCCAGTAGTTTCTACTGCTAAAAAAATTGCTATTCACACAAATGTTTTATTGCACAAGTCCACACTGCATTTTCCAATTGTTAAATTTTCCTCTGAATCACAGCCTCCTACCCTATCAACATCACCCTCTACTTAACCCCTTTCCTACATCCCTCCTCTTCATCTGTCCTCCATCTTGACTTCTTCCCTTCAAAAAAAATGATTGGTGATACAGTGCTGAATTGGCATAGCAGTTTGTCAGTCTAGCACAGAGCAGAACTAACTAAATCTCTAGTTTGCCTGTTGGGAATAGGATGGTTTATGATGAGGATGACAAATATGAATCAGCATGCCCTGTTTGCTCAATTTTTGGACATCCACAGATGAGGTGTGACACAGTTTCAGCTTTTTCTCAGCAGAGTCGACATTTGCCGTTAGCCCTAATTCCTTGAATCTTAGTTTTTATCCCATTAGTTTGGACCGCTTGTTCTTGTGCAGCAAAAATGAAGCCTTCAGGGTTTTTCTTAATGGTCTCCAGTTTCAGCCATGCCCATGTTGAATTATGATCATGTGTTCCATCAATAGTTTGCAGATGTTGTCCATGTAGTGGTTTATTTTTCCAGCTGTTTAATTTTTTTTCAAACTGTTGTTTCTTATATTGAGCCTTTGTTTCTGTTGTTTTCCAAATATTCTCAGTTTTTACTGCCTTAAGGAATTTTTCTCCACTTGTACTAATATCATTTCAGCTTTTCCTCCTCTACTGCCTGCTGTATTGGCAGTAATCCACAGCCTCCAATTTTTTGTGATAAATACAATGTGTCCACCTCCCATTTTAGATATAGTGCATGATGCATGTTAATTCGTTTCCATGTTTTTCCTATCCAATTCTTCTAATTCATTTTGAGTACAATCAGCTGGGTATCTAATTACTGGAACAGCTCATGTATTTATGGCTTTGATTGTATTTTCTCCATTTAATTTGGATTTTAAGATTTTTTGCAAAATTTTTATATATTCCCTTTCTGTCAGTTCTTTCTGTGTGCGATGTTATTTGTTTCTAGTATTCCAAGGTACTTATAATTTTCATCACTTGAGAGTGATGAAATATTGCCATTTTTAAACTCTGTTCCATCTAGTTTTGGATCTTGCTATGTTGTATAGACAGAGCTGCACATTTGTCAATTCCAAATTTCATTTACAGTAGATGTCTTCACTAAATATTTGCACTGTGTTTAGCAGTGAGTCTATCTCCATGGAACTTTTTGCATATAGTTTTAGGTCATCCATGTAGAAGAGATGATTGGTTTTTCCTGCTTGTTCTGAAATATGGTAGCCCCCTCCAGTTTTATTTAAGATAATTGGCATGGGGATTAGTGAGATGTTAAACAACAGTGGTGACAAAGAATCCCCTTGAAATATTCCTCTTTTGATACAAACTTTCCCAATTTCTTCACCATGGGCCATTAAGATCGTTTCCCATTTTTCCATGTTTTATTTCTGAGGAACTTCTGAATATTTTTACTAATCCCCTCAAAAATTAGGCAGGTGTTAATCCAGCTGTGTGCAATGAGTCAAATACCTTTTATTAGTCTTATCCAGGCCATGTTAAAGTTTGTTTTTCATCTTTTTGCATTCTTCAGTATCATTTTATCAATAAGCAGCTGATCTTTTGTGCCTCCTGACTTTTTAAATTCCCTTTCTGCTCTGTTAGGTACAGGGAGTTTTCAGTTAAGTAATCATATATTGATCTTGCCAGTACTCCTGTGAGGAGCTTGAACATTGTTGGAAGGCATGTAATTGGATGATAATTACTAGGTTCATTGCTATTTTGATGATATTTTATTATCAGAAATGTGCGGCCTGTTGTCATTCAATCTTGAGTTGTAGAATTTCTGAGTAAGTGATTAAATTGCATAGCTATACGTTCATGGAGACTTGTTAAATGCTTTAACCGAAATCTGTGCAGCTCATCAGGACCAGGTGCTGTCCAATTTTTCACAGCCTTTACTTGGCTCTTAATCATTTCAGTTGTTATTACAATATTGTGCATTTATTTCCCATATTTATTTCCAAAATTTTAGAGCATTATCTTTACTTGGGCCTAATTTCTTTTGCTTTGCATCGTCTCCTAGTGATGTATAGTATACTTGTTAGTTATTTCAAAATTGTGCGCTTTCTCTATATTGTTTCAAGCTTCCATCGTATCTTTCAATTTTCTTTGCTGTTACCTGCTGTTTTAATTATTCCATAGTTTCAAAGATTGTTTTCCTTTCTAGGTCATATATTTTACATAGTCCGGTGTCTACTTTTTCATTTTTAAGTTTTGAATCTTCCAAATGTTTTAAGTTGCTATTGTCTCTACGTAATTTGTTTATTTTTCTTTCCAGCCAAATTTTCCATTTTGGAGTGTCATGGGTTTTCTGGGTTTTTTGCAGCTTGTAACCAAGTTCTGTGGTTATTATGGTAGCTGCGCTATACATGAGCTGGTTTGTTTCCTTTAGTGTGTTGGTTGTGATTGTTCTGATGACTACATTTGCATCACTCAGTAGATCTTTTACTGGTTTACTTTGTAACTGGCACAAATTGGGGAGCCTTTGTCTTTCTGTGTTCTGGATAAAATGGGTTACTATTTTTCCCCTCAGTGATGTTTGCCATTCTGTCAACTCATAATTTCTGGGTTGTTCCATAAGTTGTTCCTCTATTGATATGCTTTCTTCCACTACTGTCTCTACCTCTACCCTCCATTTGTCTTCCATATTATGGTCATTGTTCTGTGTTCTCGATTTTCAGCAAAAGTCCACATTTTGCATTTACATTGTTCCAGTAGCTTTGCAGCAGCCTGTCCTGATTCCTCAACATGGTCTGCTGAGCCTGTAGCCCATTTATCACCAGATGCCCAGGGGCTATAGCATTTGACATGGTCCTTGTTGACCCGGTTGAGGACCAATCCGGTATGGATTTCTATTTATTCCCTCTCATCATAATTGACGGTTGGTGGACACAGTTGGTCTGGCTTCTCAGCTGAGACCTTTCTGCTTGGGAGACCCTTCAGCATAGCTCTCAACCTCACTGAAGTGTGCAAGCCCTTCTATCTCAACAAGGCCTGTGCCCATGGAGGGGATGATGATGATAGGCTAAAGACCCTAGGGTCCCTCTCCCTCTCCAACCCAATACATTAAAAACATGTCCCTACATTGACTTAAAAGATGGTAGCAGTTACATAATAATTTGGTAAGCCAATTATGAAGGTAGCACTTATTTAATGTATTGCTACATTTGAAAGAAATGTTTTTTAAAAAAATTAGAAAAAAATTCTTCCGACAAAAATGAGAGTGCACAGTGGAGGGGGATGTTGTTGTTGTACTGCTATGACCCACTCCACTGAATAAATCACTATCAGCATCACCTAGGACACATCCACCACTGCCCCTTTGGACCAATATAGGTGATCATATATCCTACAAACTGAGGGAAAGTGATGCAGGTGGAATTGTTGCAAAAAACCAAAACCCCAATAGTCCCTGTCAGCAAAACAAAATGTAATCAATGGCCATGCAATAGGAACAGAAATACTCACAGCAAGCTGTACAGCATGTAGTCAGTGGAACACTGACTGAAAACTGCAGCTCAGACTGCAGGATAAACTGCAGTGTAGTTGAACCCTTACTTTAAGACCTCTGAATTTTGCCAGGTGGAGCAATCAGTATTTCTGGGAGCTGTAGAAAGTGGTCCAAGCTCTGTTCTTATAGAGGATGGAATTCTGTTTTTAGTACCTGCCTGCTTCTTTAAAATTGGATGCTAGGCTCAATTTCTCAGTGCCTCTGTTTTGAAATATGAGAGTGACATTAAAGGTATTTTCCATTTATTTTTGGATTAAAACAAAATGTGCAGGAATTTATTCCAGATGCTGTGAATTTAACACGATAAGTACTAAGAAAGTTCTGCAACTGGTGGACATAAAATAAGAGTACAGAGGATAACAGGCACAACAAAGCTGGAGGAGAAGCAGGAATGTAGATAGTTTTGTACCTGGTTCCCCAACATTTGCATCAGGGTGGCTGGGTGCTGAGTTTTCCTGGAAGAGATGGGGTGCAGAAACTTCCATCAATTCTGATCTGACCTCTTGGTAGCTTAAATTTTCTGTGTTCCACTTAGATCCTGCAGAAGGAGGAGGAAATGAAAAGAAGTACATAGAAGGCCAGAAATATGATGCCCAAGTGAACTGATATAGCATAACATACACTGTATTTTTCCATGTATACAATGATAATTTTCTCTAAAATGCTTAGATTAAAAATTTAGGGTTGTCCTATACATGGAAGTAAGGGGGGGAGGGATCAAAGCGCTTTGATCCCTGCTTTCCCCCTCCACTTTTTGCGAAGAAAGTGGAAGAGGAAAGCATTTTCTTTAAAGGAAAGTGGTGGGGGGAAAGCACTTTCCTCACAAGAAAGTTCTTTCTTGCGAGGAAAGTGCTTTCCCCCTCCACTTTCTTCCAAACCTCTACACATTGCTTTAAAAGAAGTCTTAGCTTTGATGATTCCTGCTTTCCCCTACACTTCCGTCGCAAGAAAGTGCTTTCCCCCTCTACTTTTCTCACAAGAAAGCACTTTATTGCGAGGAAAGTCCTTTCCCCCTCCACTTTCTTCAGAAGAAAGAGGAGGGGGAAAGGACTTTCCTCACTAGAAAGTGGAGGGGGAAAGGAGGAATCAAAGCACTTTGATGATTCCTGTTTTTTCCCCTCACAAGAAAGTGCTTTCTAGGAATGACTTTGATTAATTGCTTTGATGAGTCCTGCTTTCCCCCTCTTTTCCCCCCACTGGTCCCATCACCTCCTGGCAAATAGAAGGAGAAGATATGGAAGCAGTGACAGATTTTACTTTTTTACTTTCTTGGGCTCCATTATCACTGCAGATGGTGACAGCAGCCATGAAATTCAAAGATGCCTGCTTCTTGGGAAGAAAGCAATGACAAACCTAGACAGCATCTTAAAAAGCCACCCTTTTCCCCCACCTTAATTCAAGCTTTCTGTTTTGCTTGCCTGTTCTTTTTCATAGTTTTGAGTCAGTCTCTCTGTCTGTCTGTCTGTCTCTCTCTCTCTCTCTCTCTCTCACACACACACACACACACACACACACACACACACACACACACACACACACACACACATCCACCCTCCCTCCCTTCATCCATTTTCTCCATACATTTTCCACATACATTTAAATACGCTTGATGAAGCCCTCGGTCTCTCGCACCTTCCTTCCCTCCTTCCCTCGTTAACTTGATTCTTTCCCTCCTCCTGCTTGCTCGCAATCATCTCCGGCGGAAGCAGTCATTCAGAAGCCCTGGATTGATTGATTGACCAGGGCTATTCCACAGCTGTAACCAATCAAGCAGGCTTATCTCTGATCTCTGAAAGAACGGAGGATTTACAAGTGCCCTGTTGCAACCAAGGAAGTAACAGGGAGAGGTGGCTTACAATTTGAGGTTTGGCTGCGGAGGGTGGAGGTGGGAGGGAGGGGGTAGCGCTCTGCTCATTACCCCCAGGATTTTCACTTTTACCCCATTTGGGGTAATTCACCCCTGCTCCCCGACCACTGATCTAGTTGTTATATTGGAGGATCCATTGGACTCAATTGAAGACCTGATGGAGATGCTGATGAATTTTGTTGCTATGGCAAGAATGAAAATAAAACAAAAATACTTGTTAAAAATATGAGAGATCAAGAACGACAGAAATTAATAGAAAGGACTAACTTTCAAGAAGAGAAGAGAGTCAGATACTTAGGGATCCAAATCACAAAGGAAACTAGTACATTATTCAAAGATAATTATATGAAGTTGATTAAAGAGATACAGAATAACTTGGAGAGGTGGGACAAATTACAGCTATCATTGATGGGAAGAATAGCAACCATCAAAATGAATGTTATGAATTTTTATTTTTATTTCAAACAATTCCCATAATATTAAACAATCATTTTTTCAAGAACTTAACAAGATAATCATGAGATTTGTGTGGGAAGGTTAATAAACCAAGAATTAAAATCAAAGCAATGCAAGATGCCAAACAAAGAGCAGGTTTTGGTCTCCCAGATTGGGTATTGTATTATAGAGCTTGTGTATTAGTCTGGATAAAGGAATGGATAACTTTAGATAATGATAGACTAGTCAATTTGGAATGACATGATTTGCAGTTCAGTTGGCATGGGTTTCTATGGTACAAAAAGATAAAGAGCAGAAAAGTTTCAACTCGTATATAAGAAGAGACTTGGAAAAAGATCATCCAGCAGATTTACCAAAAAACACCAGGCTGGGTATCACCCATAGAAGCCTTTACACAACCTAACCTCATGACAGAAGCAAAACTTCTAAGATATCAAGATTTATTTAAAAAAGATTGTGAGTTAAGGTCCAAAGAAAAGTTAGAAACACAAAACATATATCTAGACTGGTGGTCCAAAGCACAAGTGGAATTTAGGTATAGAAAACATAAAATAGAGGGCTTTTACACAGAACAAACAATATTCGATAAACTTCTGCTGGGCTCAGATGGTAAAGTAATTAAGAACATGTATGATTATTTGCTTGAAATTAAATGCAAGATGAGATGGTAAAAGAATGTAGGTGGGCACCCACATAGGTGGGTGCAACATTAGGCTTGGTCAGATTCCTTCTTAAGATCAACCATCAATAGCGCTAATGTTGGGCCTCTTAGTGACAGGACCAGAGTAGTGTTTGACTTTGTCAGTGACATGAAGGGGTGAGCCATCTGCGCTTACTGGGAGCTTTTTGTTGAGGTCACATCTTACCCAGTTGGGAATGTTGACTAAAGCTCTCAATATCTGGGCTGGTGAAGGAAGTGGGGGCACAATGGGGAGCAGGAGAGAAGATCCATACCAAGGGTAGCACAGAAGGATCCCCATCTGTTTTGAGTACCAAAAAGAGAACGAAAGTAAGAAGATTGTGAGACTTTCGAGACTGACAGATGTGGTTCAATATGAGCTTTCACAGATTACAGTCCACTTCTGCCACTGACTTAAATCTGTTAAATCCTTGAGGGACCACTATCTTTTTTTGTTCATATTCTTCATGCTAAAACAGACTAACATGGTTAGTACTTTAATGCTTCTTAGATGACCACTCATAGTTTATGCAGATGATGGATGCCTATCACTGTGAAAGGCCATTCTGGGGATGGTGGGAGTTGTTGTTCAAAATGTTTGGAAGGCTCTGTATTGAGTTCTCCGTAGGCATCCTTCAGTCTCGAGAGACTATGGTAACATGTTGAGGAATGCTGGTCTATTACATTGCCAGTCATTCAGCATCTGGGGCTTGTGGGGGAGTTGTAGCCCAGCATGTATGGAGGGCTGTTCAGGAAGATTGCTGTAGCAGGAGCAGCTCCGGAAGCCTCAAATTGCAAAATCAGAAGTGTATTGGAAACAAAACAGCCAGTCAGAGTGTCATTATATCAACTGTAAGTGGAGTCACGTTTGTCAGGCTGAATCTTTTCCCCCCACCTCCAGAGATTATCTTATGGTAGTTGACTATTTAAATGATCAAGCATCTTCTGTTTGAGGGGGGGGGGGAAGACTGTGGCTAGTATTATGTTGACTAAATGTGGCACAGAAGAGAAATTATCTCCAGTAGATTACTCACGGTATCTCACAACCAGTTTGAGAACAGGCAGATAACCAGGTGCCTGCCAGAACAGAAGGCATGCTTACATAATTTTCTTTCAGAAAATGAGCCAATGGCTTAAATCCAGTAGCTAGTCCCAATGAGAGGAGAGCCACTGAATAGTTGAGTTAAAGCTTCCATATTTCTATTGATTTGGTGGGCCTACTCTAGCTAGGATTTAGCCAAACATATTTTAAACTTTTTAGCTTGGAGAAAAGGATGAATAAGGGGCAGAATAGGACATGAGGGGGTTACAAAACAGAGAACAATATGGAGGGAAAGGATATAAGAACCATTTCACAGCAGAGAGAAGTACTCTTTACATTTTATGGTACTGACTACGTTATTATGTGAAGATGTCACTGATTTATCTACCATGATGGTCCACAGTAAATTTAAATTTAAAGTGTTTAAAACAAAGAAATTAGGTAAATTCCTGGAGGATAAATCTCTTTGAAAATATTTGCCATCATGTTAATATAAAGTACTCTGAATACCTGATACGGGCATTACTTTCATACTTCCAAAGTTATCCTGCCTGTCAACTAGAAATATGCCTTTCCTCTTCTTGTTGCTCTCTTACTCTGTGAAGCTGAAGTTCTCAGGAGGAATCCTTTTCCCAGTTATATACATGTGTCTGGCAGTATTGCAAAACAGTGGGACACGCAGAGCTGCTACTTTCCTTGCCCTTCAGAGACCCTTCTGTCTCCAAAAGGGGAACAGAACCACAGCCTAGTCCTGGATACTCAGTATGGAAAAGAGAATTGTAAGAAAAAAACCCCGAGAAATAAGCTACACCCCAAAAGCTCATTGACTCGCAGCTCTTTAAGAGATAAATTTTCTGATCTCTACCTGATCTCTAGGTATACATACCTCCTTGAGAACCTTGAAGAGCGTCCCTGCTGTCCTCCTCTCCAGTTTCAGGACAATGGCTTGCTCTCAGCAGAGCTACCTCCAGCTTCCTTCCCAGTTCATCCTTCTCCTCCTTCAGCCACTTCTTGTCTTCTTCTAACCCAGCCTTGTCTTGAAGGAGGTTGCTGATGGTGGATTCCAGCCTGCGGACCTGAGCATTCCTTTGGGCTTGTTCCTTCTTCAAGCCTTCCACCTCTCTTTGAAGTAAGCTCGCCATGGAAAAAGAGTTACTCCTTGCAGTTTGGCTTCCATAAAGCTGATTGACCAGGTTCTCCAGGAGGGTAAGCCTTGCTCTAGCAGACTCCAGCTCTAAACGCTGGGCTTGGCTTTCCTGCTGGAGTGCTGTCACTGCTTCACTTTGGTCAGCACAGCTGGCTTCATTTGTGCTGGGAACGCTGAAAGAATAAATGCATCTCCCATCCTGGTCGTTCGTTTTGTGGAGAAGGACAGTGTTTCCTAATGCCCCGCTCATCAGCCACACAGAAAGCAGCCAAGTCATCCACACCTCCATGGCTTTGCTGATGGTCCTTTAAACTCACATAGTTTCTGAGGAGCACAGCGTACAAGTGGCCTTTGCTGACTCTCTGAAACTGAGCTCCTGGAGACCTCAGCTTTATACAGCTGAGAGGGAAGTGCAGGAGGGGGTTTGCTTTGCCAGAAACAGAAGCAGCACAGAATAACAGAAATCATCTTGAGCTTTCTAGACTCTCTTAAAGGGGCAGCCTATACTTGGGATCTTTCTTTTCTCACAGAGGCACAATGAGAGCTCATGTGTATGAGCAGACTTGGTGGAAATATGCACTTGATTATGAAGGGCCGTGATTCTGGAATCTGAAGCTTGTGACAGAGCTACTACTTTTAAATGTTTGTATTTGACATCCTAAATATACAGCTCCCCCCCCCAGTAAAAAGCTATGGAAATAGAGCAGTACAACAAAATACACTGAGTGAATATTGCTTTGTTAGAGGAAAGTGGGTGACGAGGAATTGTTATGGTTCTTCTTGGACCAAGCAACACCCTATACCTTGGGGGAGAAAAGCTCAGGAGGGCTGGGGGCACAAAATGTGGCTGGGGTCTTTGGGAATGTCAGAGAAGATAATCTCCCAGCTGCTTTCCACCAACAGGAGTTTCCTCTGTATTCTAAGGCCTTTAAGAATCAGAGAAAAATCCCTTCAGCTTATGAATCAACCAGACAGGTGCCATCTCATTGTAAATGTTCTGTCCATCAGCCATTCAGACTGGAATGACCATGATTGTCCACTCAGGGTGTCTTCCAATGGAGGATTCCAATGAAGGTTTCCTAGTGCTAAACCATTCCTAACCAATGGTTATATACTGTAACCTTTGTTTAAGACACTCTTACGACAGAGAGTATACCATCTTGTGAGGTAGTCTTTTCCACTGTCAAATGGTTCAGGTTAGGAATTTCTTTTTAATGTTTCGCTGGAATCTCTTTCTGAGTAATTTCAATACCTTCATTTGGGTCCTGTGCCCTTTGAACCTCCCTCAGCAGGGCCATAAAAAGGTGCAAATGGCTGTTAACTACAAGATAACTACTAACAAGGCAGGGGGGAAAGGTTAAAAGTCAACTATATACAAATGGCTTTGAAGAAATGTATGGTAGACTCCTGAAAACTCCTGAGGTGTTCTGTCAACTGCAGCAAAAAAGGGAACTGAGGACTATCCCCAGGGTGGGAAGCATGTGTAGTGGAGAGGGAGAGAGCCTAACACTGCTTTAGGCTCTAGAACAGTGGTTCCCAAACTGTGCATTGTGGCTCCGTGGTGTGCCACAGAATCCTCTAACTCTTCCCCCCTCACCCAAAGTACCCTACAGCACTTACTTGCAGTTTCTCTGATGCCCATGCATGGTGCAGAGAGGGAAGCCTGCCATCGTCACATTGTACAAGAACAAAGGAGACAGGGATGACTGCAATAACTACTGTGGCATCTCTCTTCTCAGTTTTGTAGGGAAGTTGCTTGCCCATGTTGTCCCGAAGAGGCTCCAGGTGCTTGCAGACAGAGTCTATCCAGAATCACAGTGTAGATTTCGAACTAATAGATCCACCACTGACATGGTATTCTCCCTCAAACAGTTGCAGGAGAAATGCAGAGAACAACAACAGCCACTCTTTGTGGCCTTCATAGATCTCACAAAGGCCTTTGACTTGGTTAGCAGGGACGGACTTTTTAAAATACTTCCCAAGGTTGGATGTGCACCTCGACTCCTAACATCATCACGTCCTTTCATGAGGGAATGAAGGGCACTGTGGTTTTTGACGGCTCAACATCAGATCCCTTAGACATCCAAAGCAGAGTGAAACAGGGCTGTGTCCTCGCACTAACTCTTTTTGGGATCTTCTTTGCTGTCATGTTGAAGCACGCCTTTGGAACTACAACCGAAGGTGTCTATCTCCGGACTAGATCAGACAGAAAGCTGCTTAATCTCTCTAGATTGAGAGTGAAGACCAAAGTCCAGCTGAAATGCATGCGGGACTTCCTCTTCGCCGATGATGCAGCCATTGTTGCCCACTCTGCTGAAGACCTCCAGCAGCTCATGAATTGTTTTAGCAAGGACATCTGCAAGCGGGATCTGAAGGCCTTAGGAATAGACCTCAACAGATGGGAAACCCTGACATCTGACCGTTCAGCCTGGAGGCAGGCAGTGGATCACGGCCTTTTTCAATTTGAAGAGGCACTTGTCCAGCAGGCCGAGGAAAGAAGCAGTCATGAAAGCAACAAAATCAGGGAGCTGGACAGGGGACAGATTGCATTTGTCCACAAAGAAGAACCAGTGGAAGAAATATCAATAATTTAAGATATGCAGATTATGCCATCTTACTGGGAGAAAGCAGCAGTGACTTGAAATGACTTCTGATTAAATTGAAAGAAGAAAGTGTCAAAGCGGGATTATAGGTGAATGTTAAGATATCAAAAATAATTACTACAGAAGAACTACTCAACTTTAATGTTGACAACAATGAAGTTAAAATTGTTAAATATTTTATATACTTTGGTTCAATCATTGATACAAATGGAGACTGGCAAAGAAATCAGAAGACTGACTCAGAAAGGCACTAATGAAGGAATTAGAAATGATTATGAACTGTAAAGGATGTGTCATGGGAAAACAAAGCCATGATAATCCACACTGTTTTATTCCTGATTACTATATACAACTGTGGAAGCTGGAAAGTGAAGGAACCTGAAAGGAAAAAGTTGCTTAGTTTGAAATAAGGTGCTCAAGGAGATAATTGCTGATACCTTGGACTACCAGAAAAGCAGTCAGGTGGGCACTGGATCAAATCATGCCTGAACTTTCTCTGGAAGCAAAAATGACAAAACTGGGGCTATACATTGCAACCCTATTCTTTAGGGCTGTACTTCGAGCCCATCATGAGGAGACAAGACTTGCTAGAAAAGACAGTAATGATAGGAAAAGTGGAAGGCAGCAGGACCAAATATGAGATGGATTAGCTGCATAAAAGAAGACACAGCCTTGAGTTTACAAGAGCTGAGCAGGGCTAATGAGGACAGAATATTGTGGAGGTGATTCATTTATAGGTTCACTACATGTGCACATTATCTTTCTATAGATAGAGCCATTATTTTAAAACTGATGCTGATACAGCCTGTGAACCCCACATTTTGGAGACAGAAAATGGGGGAAACTACGTCTTGATGTGGTTCCTCAGAAACATTTGGCTTACCACAGGCTTGGCCCTCCCATTCATCAGAGTAAGATGACTGTCTTGGATGGCTAGATGTCACTCCAACTAAATTGAAATAAGCTGTTGCTCTGGTTAAAAAACAAACAAAAATCCACTCAGGAATCAGTAAGTAAAACTCCACCTTCCCATTAAAATAGGAAATGACTGATAGAGTGTAAATTAGGAGTGCTGCAGCCAGGGGCTGTAAATAGAGGTCAACTAAGTAACTGCTTTATGAGAAAAATGCAAGAATCTGCCAACTGTGGGAATAATTGCTCTGAAATGCCTTAAGAGTATTTGATAGGCTTGTGCTGCAATTGTAATTTTCAGACTCTGCCAGCAAGTAAAATTCACCACAAAGCAGAAGAAGACTGGGAGGAAAGAGTGGAAAACATAGAAATGGGTTGGAAGTACTTGGAGAAATAGATTGCTTTAGCTTCTCTGCAAGTGCTTTTTTGTGCAAGGCTTTTAATGGCTGAAATTCTGCTACTTAGTGAAGTACGTTGTAGCTAGAATAGGTCCATTGAATCCATGGAGCTTACAAAGGGGTCGACTTACCAAACTACCACATTTTGGTAAGTTGACCCCTTTGCAAACTCCTCTAAGTTTCTGTCTTAGAAAGTCACAGCAAGTCTTAGCAAGTTAGAGGAGGCCCACTGTCTTAGCAAGTCACAGTTAGAGGGCCTCCTCTAACTGTGACTTGCTATGCTAAGCAGGGGGATTTAAGCCATTGTGCATCCAGCATGAATTTTACAGGCGTCAAGATGGTGGTGCCTTCCACTTTTAACACTTCTGTCTTCTCCCACTGTTTCTTCCATCACTTTCCTTTCCACTGACAAGCCATTATGGAGGACATGACTCTTGTGGATAGTGTAGCTGCATAGGCAAGGGGTTGGACTAGATGACCCTGAGGAACCTTTCCACCTCTGCAGTTCTGTGATGCTAGGTAGACTGTCTCTGAATGTAGTATTTCTATTGTTGACAGATATGACCAGCATTAATTTGCATAGTCTGTTTTCCCTTTAGGAATGGGGAAGGGGATAAATCCTGCACAATAATATCTCCCCTATATTCCAAAGTAAGAGATAGTTGCCATTTGGTTAACCCTTCTTGACAAAGGTGTTTGCAAGTGTGTGTGTTGCATGATGGCAGAACTTGAAAGCAATGTGCTGCAATGGACAGCACTTTTGTTAACTCTCTCTTTCTCTCTCTCTCTCTCTTTGCAGTGAAGAAGACATAAACCATCCCTTTCCCCCATATATCATAAACATTAATGCATTACAGAGTTTGCCTCCTTTTTATTCATTATATAACAAGTAGTAATTGCTCATTGCATAAACAGCATTTGGGAGGATCATTGCCAGATGTTTTGCTATTTTATATCTCGTAAGGCTTCCAAAAATAATGAATTAGTAATGTGTTACCAACACATCATCCCATCCCCACAATGGCTACTGTTAATGCATTATTTGTATTTTAAAAAGATCATGGATAACACTAACATATTTGCCATTTTGGATAATGTAATGTCTTCAAGCTCTCCATATTCTGGAGTTGTGGGTAGGGGGGAAATGTAGCATAACATCAATCACATCAAGAACTAGGTTACCTAGAAGTTGAACCATTTTTTGTGTTTCTTGCACACAGAATACCGCGCAGTAAATAACACTATGGATAGGTAGATACTGTTGCACTGTTCTTGCTGTGGAGCTCAGATTGTTAGAACAGCCAGCCTCCTATGAATTCTGAAATTGTTCTACTATAGAGGAAGTTAACTTTCTCACTTCATTTGTACTGCCATGTCTGCAACGTGGGGATGATAAGGACCCACTGTGTTTCCCAAAGTAAGACAGAAAGAATGTATG